TCTTTTCTTTGTCTTCTACTACTTTTTCCAACAACATTAGGGGCAACCAGTTGATGCCATTTTCAAAAATATCATGAACAGAGTTATGTGGGTCCCTTCTTATAAGTGGCTGATTAGGATCTTCCAATGCAAATAGTTTGTGAATCTCTAGTGCCAGATCATGCCATGAACTAACAATGCTTTCTTAATACTAGAAATAGAATCAATAAAATTTTTAAATCAATTCATATTAAAAACAAGTCCAGAATAATCATCCTTAATTTTTGTGCTTTTCTAAAAGCCACTCTAGATATGAGAATCAGCTATTAGTGAGGGTTATTCAGACAAACAGTGCATATTAACAGCATATCTATCTATCTATCTATCTGAGACTATGACGGTTTTAGAAGACAGGTACTCATGTTGGAGGCTGTTTCTGGGTTTGAACTACTGCCAGTCCTGGCACTTGGCAGCTATTGTAGTCCTTGGGTCCAGTAGAAATGAGTGGCAGCAGTAAGCAGCAGCAGGCAGTTCCTGATAGTATTACAATGCCTGAATGTGTCTTGGGTGTTGGGACCTTCAGCATCTACAGTGCCTAGTGTTATAGCTCTTAGGCCTAGGGTGTCAGGACCTTTGGTCCTTAAGGACTAGCAGCTCTCTTAAACTCTTCCAGTGACAAGCAGTTTTGCATCTCTGGCTCTATATAGCCTTCCATCTGTCTTCAACCCCAGTTCTCTGTCCTCTTTTTCCTCCTCTGTAATTTCACCATACCTCATTTTTTCTGTTACCACTCATCATTTCTGCCCCAATCACTTTATGGCACTCTTCATCTCCCCTCTTGATACTACTGTGGCTGCTGCTACTATCACCAGGGTGGTGAACACCTTCACTGCTGATACTGCCAATTCTTCTGTCTTCTTTCATGTAACCAGCTTATTCCACTCTACCAATGATAAAGATCAAAAGTACACAAGTACAGACCACTTGAGTAAGACTTGACAGAAGCCTTTTTGGCCTTATTGGGCCTATTGGAAAGCACAATAGAGTACCACCAAGCTGACTAGAAAGTTGAGCCAAACAGCCTGTTTATGAAGCCAGAAAGGGGTGTAGCAAGCATGTTTGCACCAATCACAGCACAGTCCTTTGTGCAAAAGAAGGACTGTGTTTGCACCAGTCATAGCATAGTCCTTCATGCAAATAAGACTGTTTGCACTAATCACAGGCCTTCTTCTGGGCCACTAAAGAAATTGTTCCTCTCTGGCCTGGGTGCAAATGGCTACTAGAGTTCACCAATACTTATGATGGCAAAATGCCTAGCACAAATTGTTTGAGGCATTTGTGGCTGGAATAGTCTTTCTGGATCCAGAGTCATGCTTCATCAGCAAGCAGCTGTGGTTTCAGGAATTCAATCAGAAGTGGATCATGCAAGCAGCACAGGAAAAGGATCATTTTAAGCAGTGACAACCATACATGACTTGAGCCAGACACTCTAGTCATATAGGGCCTAGATGTCAAACATGTAGTCCAGGTGCACATACAGGCACAGGAAGTGGTACAGGTGGCTGCAGATGTGGGTGGTTGCATAAGATGTCTTGGCCTAGTGGTGGAACTTTCTTCTTATTATCTTCCCCTCTTCCTCCTCCTCCTCTTTCTTCTTCTTCTTTTAGTGGTATTGTGGTTTAAAATTAGGGCCTTGTGCTTACTAGGTAGTAGCTCTAGCACTTGAGCCACAACACAACTGCTAGTGCTGACACTAGGGTTTGAACTCAGGACACTGTGCTTGCTAGATGTCTGCTCTACCACTTAAGCCCTACCCTAGTGTGGTGAGAGGTTCTAGAGCTGGCTTCTCAGCTTGGCCATCAAGGAAACTCCTGGATGTAGTAACGGCATGCTGCCTCCAATAAAGGTCTCTCCTCATCTTGCTTGTGTCTGATAATAGCATCACCATATACAATTTACCTGTATTAATTGTGTTCCACATATTCTACGTTGTATAATGTTTTGACACCTTAAAGGGCTAATTGGTTGTAGAGTTACTACTTTTCCTTGACAACCTAATTCCCATGATAATAAATGACTCTCCTTTTAGCATGCCTTTCATGAGCAAACAAACAAATCTTAAGTCCATTCCTCTAGCTATCTCCTTTATCCAACTCCTACAAGCAAAGACAACATTCTCTTTCTGAACATAGGGTCTGATACCAGACAAAAAGAAACTACTACCATATTAGTGCATTTTGAGTTGCTACAGCAAATATCTGAAGGTGGATAACTCATAAAATAAAAAGGTTTATTTGGATGGATGGTCCCAATAGCATGGCTCTGACATCCTGACAAGGTTCCCCTGGCTGTGTCACAACATGGCACAATAACAGAAGGGAAAACAGCTACATGTAGAAGGGGCCAAATGCACATGGTGGCTTCAATTTATAACAACCTGCTCTAACAAGAACATGATAGCAAAATCCAGTCTAAGGGTGGTGCATACATGACCTAATTACCTTCTTCTAGTCCCCACCTCTTAAAAGTTTCACCATCCTGATACAACCACACAAGAAACCAAGACTCCCATACACGAAACTCTGGGCAACAAACCATAACACAGCCCAAATGGACCAAGACACCGAAAAACCCAGCATTGCTTACATTATATTGACTTGGTGATACTTCTTAATACAAAGCTAATCACACCACTTTCTATTTTTAAAACTTATTAGACAGTCTCCATAAGCTTCAATATAAAGTTTGAATGGATGGTATTAGCACTCAAGAGGTTTTATGTGTACCCTTCTAGTCTTTTTCTCCTGAACTTCCATTATATGAAGCTTGTATTATACACCATAGAATTTATTTACTGTTTTCCAATTACATGCTATTGTTTCATTCCTTCATGTAATCACCCATGGTGACTCTTGTGCCTAATTATAGTTTCTTCTTAGTCTCAAAGATCAGCTCAGGCATTCCCTCTTCTGGAATTTCCCCAGACCAGGTTATTGTGTATAGGACCCTCTGTGCTTCAGAAGTCAGCACACACCTCTTTCAAGCACTTAGTCTTTTTTACTAAAGGCATGTTTTCATATTACTGCTCATATCCACTCTAGTCTGTAAGCTCTGAGAGGTCAGGGACCTTCACCCACATCTGGAATGTCAATGTGAGGTCCCATTTACTTCTGCCTTTTGAGTCAGGTGCTTTTCTCAGACACTTTTCAGAGTCATTTTATTTCTTAATATAAATATTTAAGGGCAAACATTTCAGAGAACTGACTTACATGAAGGTTTTGGAATCTAGCATCATTTTTCATTTTTGTAAAATCACCAGACCTTTTAAAGAGCTCTTTTAGTTTTATAAAGAAATAGGGCAGAAAATCCAGTTTCCCAAATGCCCCTCCTCCACAGTTATACCTGTTATCAATATATTGCATTTGTGTGGTACATTAATAGAGTTGATGAACCAATATTGATTTATTCTATTAACTAAAGTCACCCTTTGTGTAGTATAATTCTATGGGTTTTGACAAATTTCTAATGTCATGAATTCAGTATTACAATCTTACACAGAATAGTTTTGCTGAAAAACTTTCTGGCTTTATCCATTTATCACTATTCCTCTCTAAATCCCCACACCAAGCTCTTGGCTATTTGTGAGTTTTTAAATCTCCATATCTCTATGGTTTTCCCTTCTAGACATTATATAGTTGGAACCATGCTATATATAGCATTTGCACACTGGAAACTTTCCCTGAGCAGTTTGCATTCAAGGTTCTTGCATGTATTTTTGTAGCACGATAACTTGTGTTTTTTACATTGGTGAATATATTCCAAGATGTGAATTTACCATAGTTTTTTCATTCCTTTATTGAAGGACATATTGGTTGCTCCAACTTTTGACAGTTGTAAATAAATCAGCTATAACATTTGTGTGCAAGTTTTTGTGTGCATATATTTTCAACTTATTTGGGTAAATATCAAAGAGAATGATTGCTGAATCATATGGCATGTTTAGCTTTGCATGAAATGGCCAAACTGTCTTCCAAAGTGACTGTACCTTTTATTCCCACCAGCAGGGAATGAGAATTTTATTTCACCACATCCTTGCCAAATGTTGGCATTGCCAAGGCTCTAAACTTCAGCCAAATATAATATTTTTCATTCCTGTTTTATTCTAGCTTTTATTGTGATTTCTTTTAGACCCATGAATTTTTTTAAAATTAAAAGATTTAAAGTTATTAAAATTGAAAAATCAATGATTTCTTATTGTGTAGGGCTTCCTATTTTTAATTGCTTCTTTCCTTAATTTAATTGCAATAAAAGAATATGTTCTTTGTGGTAGTATCCGTAGAAGCATACTTTCTGATCTAGTAAATGGTCAATCATTGCAAGTTTCCTTGTGCTTACAAGGACAACCATCGCTAATCACGGATGTCCTGGCTTACCGTATTTAATGAATGACTAATAAAAGCATCTTCATCTTTTCCCTATGTGTGAACCTGCATTAGATTCTTTCCCAATACTGTGAGTCTCTTAACATCAAGATACCTATCTGGTCTCATGGTCAGACTCTGAACTCAAGACATAAAAGCAATGGGGCAGGATTACCTCAGTAACCTCACAGAGTTCCACCTTCTTGTTTAAGATCCCACTACCCTCTGTCTGGATGACCTCTCCTTTAGGACTAGATCTCTGCCCCTACCCTCACAAACATCTCCCTGCCAGAAAATAACCTTGCATCTGACGTTTCTCTTCCACCACTCATGGTACAGACTAAACAGGACAAAGTCCCCTCTCAGTGTGCACCACCCTATTTCTACTTTCATTTCCTGGTTTGAGATACACATTTATTGCCTGCCAATAAATGCAAAGATTAAAAGTCCAGAGTCTTCATATTTCTAACACATGCAATCATGTTGATATGAGGGAGGCTATGAGAAGAACAAAACAATTTACCGTCAATTCCAAATGAGCCCCTCCATAACTCCTGATCCTGGGACAGCTAGCCTGGTTCCTCTGATCTCTAATTAAAGTATCCATCCATCTTGCTGCGTCTGGTTTTCATAACAAGAAATCATCCCTCTGGAACACATCCATTGCCCTTGTGCTCATGTTGCTTGTCAGTCTCCTAAAGCTGGGGTCAGGTAAGCTATCCAGGACAGCCTCTTACCCTTACTGTTGACTAACAGTTTGAGTTCTCTACTTGCTAGTGCAGAACAAAGAGGTAGTCATATCTGTGATGCTTATATTTCCCTGGCTTTTCTTAATCACAGCCTGGAAATTACCAATACCAAGGAGCTATGGCAGGAATAGGGCAGTGGGAAGGACTTAGGCATGGTAGATACAATGAGAGCAGCCTAGAAATTCTGTGAGTGGAATGTTGAAGAGGGGCTGTAGTAGTGGGGAGGGCACACACAAAGGATGCTGAGGTGAAGGTATTAGGTGTTTGTTCCTAATTGCATGTGTGGGGTTAGGCAAGGGAAATCTCTAGAATACCTAGACTTCTGAGATCAGTGCATAGATGGAAGAAGACACTGGTGCTTTTAAGAAAAAAACAGTGGTCAAACTTAGGGCATGCTGAGTTAGTAAGCCCTGTGATATGAAATCTGAGGGTGAAAAAGATCTCTAGATCTTTGACTAGATATCTGGCTAATTTGGGACAGAAATCCAATCCTATTTCTCCTTCCAATTACTATTTAATACAAAGCCTACTTCATAAGATATGGAGTAGTTGAACAAAAAAAAATCAGAGGAATTTTGAGTAGGCACAGGTCTCTGGGCAGTCAGTGTTCAGCAGTATAAAGTTCAGATGAATCCTCATCTTCTCTCTATGCAGGACATATGTCTGTTTAGCTAAACAACAATAAGAAAGGGGGAACAAAGGCATTCAAACTTGCTCTAGCCGGGCACCAGTGGCTCACTCCTTAATCCTAGCTACTTAGGAAGTGGATATCAGGAGGATCATGGTTTGATGCCAGCCAGGGAAAAATAACTCATGAGACCCTATCTTGAAAAACCCTTCACAAAAACAGGTCTGGTGGAGTGGCTTCAAGGTGAAGGCCCTGAGTTCAAACCCCAGTACCAAAGGAAAAACAAAACTTGCTCTACATGACAATAGTGTGACTATAATTTATAAAAACCTACTACATATTTTATGAATGACTGGAGGAGAGGAACTTGAAGTCTACAAATGCAAAGTAATTATAAGGAAAGGGAAATGTGAATTACTCTGATGTTTGTCAGTATACTTGTATACATGCATCAAATAACCACACAGCAAATTACAAATATGTACAGTTAAAATACTAAAAATAATTTTAAAACATGGACTTTTTACTAGCATAATTAATTATATAAATGAAGGATTTCATTACATTTTCATCCATGATTATAACAGACTTTGATCATACTTACCACCTCCATGCTCTTCCTCCTCCCACCACATCCTTACCAGTTCCTCTTTTTATTTTCACGTGCTTCTCTCCCCAGTTCCACATATGAGAGAAAACATTTGTTATTTGTCTTTCTGGTTTATTTCTTTTAGCATGACAATTTCTAGTTCCATCTATTTTCCTGACAATAATATAATCTCATATTTCTTTATAGCTAAATACAACTCCATTGTGAATATATATCACATTTCTTTATTCTTTCATCTGTTGACAGGCACCTAGGCTGATTCCATAACTTTAAAAACATACACTCTGTTTTCACAACAAAATCTATGCATTTCTTTGCAGGGGAAATACTGAGGTTTGGACTCAGGGGCTTGTGCTTTTGCTAGGCAGGTATTATAACACTTGAGCCATGTCCACAGGTGCTTGCCATTTAAGCCGTGTCCCCAGCCCATTTTTGCTTTTAATTGTTTTGGGGGTTATGGTCTCACACTTTTTGCCCAGGCCAGCCCTATACTTTATCTTCCTAGCTATACCACTCAAATGGATGAGATTACAGTTAGATATCAGCTTTCTGGTTTGTTGGCTGAAATATGTCTTGTTTTCTATTCCTCCTAACCCCCTGGGTAGCCTCAAACCACAATCTTCCCAGTCTATACTTCTTGAGTAACTGGTATTACAGGCCTGCTCCATCACACCAACTATACATGTACTCTTAAGAGAACCTCTAATTAAGTCCATTCTCATCCATTTCCTGATGAGTTGCTTTGCCTCCTTTCTGGTTTCAGGAGAGGCAGCAGGGAATCCTGAAAATGACACAGAAGCAAGAAAACTTCATTTTTTAACTTTCCCCTTTCCTCTGCTTATGAGCTTTGTGGCTTATAACTTCTCCAAGTGTCAGTTTGCTTGTTCTGACATGGAGTTAGTATCACATTCCTGACAGGACTATCAGAAAACTGCATGAGTTTGTGCATGAAAAGCACATAGTGTACAACTCCCTTGGTGTACAGTGTGTCCATCACCATTTTTCCTCAGTGCTCCCCAGTAGAAGGAAAAGTGAAGAGTGGAAGTTTCTGCTACAGGCAAGGCAAATGACAGCAACAAAGACTGACCAGAGAAATAGAGACATTCTGAAATATTTTCCCTTAGCTCAGGAGCCCCTCACAACCCTGCAGGCAGCACTAACAGCATCCCAGCTTCCCCCAAGCAGATCCAGTGACAAGAGCTGGTTTGCAGGTGGTTTGTTTAGGAGATGATTCTGAGAAACAAAATGAGTGGTTGGGAGAGTGAAGTCTGAAACCATGGAGGGTGTGCTAATGAGCCACAACTGGGACTCAGGCCCACTGGGAAACTTTTGGGGAACCTTTATAGGATTTTAGCATTTAGTGGTTTAGCATCATCTCAATCAGAATGAGAAGAGTTTGAACTTCATCTGCTGCTTCCCATTCATCATAGGGATGCCCTCAAGGTTATTAAAATCTCAGGATTTCTGAGTTGCCTTACCCCTGGGATCATTAAATTCCAAATGGGAGAGGAGGCCTTAGCAGAGGGGAGAGGCCAGTTTCCTAGGGTGGAGCCATCAGCAACTGTGGAGTGTACCCATCCTACTGTGGGTTACACAGAGACTGAGTGCATGGTAAGGGGCAGGGCCTTAACCTCTGCTATTCCAGATTAGTTGGTCAGAGACCATGCTACAAAGCCACAGTTCATCTAATAACAGTCTCCTTCAAGAATGTGTGAACTTCAATAAGACATGCTTAAATTAAGAAATACTTGTGCTAAAATAAAAAATTTTTCACTTATTTGGGAACTCACACATAAAACCTGTTTTGCCTCCTATTCATATACACCCTCCCACACACACTTAAATGAAAAAATTGGTAAATGAATGTTTCTAAATTAATCAAGAGAACATGTCCCCAGTCAAAGGGGTTGTGTTCACAGAAGTTGAAGGAAGGAGACTCTATAATATGTTGTCTTTCTAAATAGGTAACTATTACACAGCAGTAAGTGTGATTTATATCAGGAAAGTTACCTGAAATGATCATCAAACAGATGAGCAAATGAGAAGGGAAAATGGTGCTCATCATTCACACATGTAGCCCTTGTTTGTGAAGCTTGTGGTCTGTGCTAGACATGGGATGCAATTCTGTGCAAAACAGCCCCTGTCCACATAGCTGAGAGAAAAATTTCTAGAAAACAAATCAATTTTAAATCCTTATAACCAGATGATGAAAAGTTTTAAAATGAAGGTGAAGGACAACATGTATATGAGGACCAAGAAAATATGAAGAAAATGAAGGTAAGACTTGTCAGTGAAGTGTCAAATCAAGTACTATTGAATGCCAGAATCACAACGTGGAAAAAATACTGTTTAAGTGTAAAAAAGTACATGCTATACAAAGATTATGCCACAGTATAAATGCACTAAGAAGAAAGCTCTAAAATAAAAACTGGAAAATCTCCTTCTCACAGTGTCATAGTGCATCTTTCATATTTTGACAGACCAAGTAAATAAAACAAGGAAGCACAAATACAAGGTTAGACTGATGGTCAAAGTGTGTGCATTCTCCCATTGAAACAAAATTTAATCACATGTATGAAGGAAAGAAACTGGCCCAACCTGGAGATTTATGGTCATACCCATTCCCCATGGGTCATTGCAAAAGGGGCAGTCCTTTATTTTTAGTTAAAAATTGGAAAGGGGCTGTTGTAAGTTTTAGTGAAGCAGACAGGCAGAAGGGAGAGAATGTGGGTATAAAATGTCCTCTAGTCAGCAGGTCTGCATTTGGAAAGTGTCTTTCATTTGTGTGGGTAACATACTTAGTGTCCCTGAAACAGTTTTTTACCTTGAAAATGAGAATATTAATAATATACATCTTTTTGGATGTTTGGGAGGGCTGAGTGAAGTACCTGATGAAGATATGTCAAGTGTAAGGAGACATGAGTCATAGCTATGAGTCCCTTGGTTTAGTAGGGACATTGTAATAAGTGTTCCACCCCCTTGCACTCCAGGTCTGAGTAGGATATATTGATAAGGGAATTTCTGTTATGTGTCATCAGTTATTTGGGTTATTTTTCTTCCCACAGGGCAGTGGCAGGTGGTTGGGCCTGACAAGCCCATCCAGGTCTTGGTGGGAGAGGATGTAATAGTCCCCTGCTTCATCTCGCCTGAGATAAATGCAGAGGCCATGGAAGTGAGGTTCTTCAAGGAAGAGCTGAGTGCTGTGGTCCACCTCTTCCGGGATGGGAAAGATCAGAACTATATGCAGATGCCAGTCTTTCAAGGGAGAACAAATTTGGTGAAGGACTTCATCATGAATGGGCATGTGTTCCTGAGGCTGAAGAAAGTCACTCTTTCAGATACTGGCCTATACGGGTGCTGGTTTGGCTCACAGACATATAGCCAGGAGGCTACCTGGGAGCTACAGGTGTCAGGTTTGTTGCTTATTTCAGAGAACTCACAATTGAGTTATCTTATAGAATTATCCTAGACTTTACAGTTTTTTGAGTGAAATTTTTTTCCATCTTCGATCATTTACTTAGCAAACAATACCCTACATGATCATTTTGTTATGTCTTATGTGTATAGTTCTGTCATTTTATCACATGCATCATTTCATGTCAAAACATTGTATTGTCCCATCACCACAAAGATGTCTCTCTGCTGCCTCACTCCTCCACCCCGCTTTTTGGCAGCACTGAGGTTTGAACCCAGGGCCTCAACACCCGCTAGCCAGGCACTCTACCACTTGAGCCACTCCCTCTGATAGTCACATCCATTCTCCTCCTTGCCACTGCTATCCCCACTCCTAGAAATCACTAGTCTGCTCTCCATCACTGTAATTTTGACAATTCAAGCATGTTACTTAATAATGGAATATAGCATGTGATTTTTTGAGATAGTCTTTTTCATTCAAAATAATGACTTTGAGAGCCATCCAAGTTGTTGCTTGTATCATTAGTTCACTCCTTTTTATTGCTGAGTAGAATCATGCATAGGTTTTTACGTGGATATAAGTTTTCATTTCTCTCAGATAAATTCCCAGAAGTATGATTTCTGGGATGTATGTTAAGGATATGTTTAAGAGTCTTTTTCCTTTTAATTAAGATAGTCTTAGTTGGTTTAGGATGCTATAATGAAATAGACTGGGTAGGCAATAAAGAACAGAAATTTATTTTTTACAGCTCTAGAGACTAGAAATCCAAGATTAGATGTGGTATGGTTGGGATCTGGTAAGGGCCCTCATCCATTGCAACCTGCTGACTTTTCAATGTAATGTTATATGGCACAAAAAAGGCACAAGAACTCCCTGGAATTCTCCTTAATGATGGCATCAACTTCATGACCCACTTATCCTCCCAATTTATAATTTTACATTTCCCTTTCCAGTTTAGATGTCTTTTGTATCTTTTCCTCGTTAATTTCTCTGGATGGAAATTCCAGTACAGTGTTGAACAGAAGTGTCAAGTTCATCTTTGAGGTTTTCCTTTTCTTAGAGGAAAAAATTATATTCCTTTCCCATTGAGTATGATGTTCACAGATTAATAAGGACTTAATTATGTTAAGGAAGTTTCCTTCTATTCTTAGTTTGTTGAGTATTTTTATGATGAAATACTAGTTGAAATAATTATGCGTTTTCTTCCTTTATTCTGTTAATTTGCCGTATTACATTACATTTAATCAAATAGTTGTTAATGAACAGCTATACATGTTCAATTATTTTATTCTCTAACTTTTTGATATGTTGGATGACATAAATTACTTTTTGCCCATTGTATTACCTTTCATACCTAGGATAAATTGCAGTTAGTCATGGTACATAATTCTTTATATACACTACTTGAATTGATTTAATAATATTTTTGAAAGACTGGCCTTTGAAAGTGAGTTAGAAAACTGTTACTTCTCTTCTATTTGCTAAATGTTTTCAAGTACTTGTTAGTGAAACCTTCTTGGATTTATAATTTATTATGAAATTATAAATTATAAATTAAGCAATTTTCAATGGCTATAAAAATATGCTGAATACATATTTCATTATAATTAAGTTTTTGTAGTTTGTGGTTTAAGGCTTCAGTGTATTTCTTCCAAGTTTTCAGGTGTATATGTATACCTTTATCTACCTTGTTCATTGTATACCTTTATCTTTTTAATGGCTGCATGATCTGTAGTGATGTCTCCTGTTTAATCTGATGTTGGTGATATGCTCATTCTTTCTTTTGATTTTTGTCAGGATTGCCAGATTTTCTTTACCAATTTTCTTTATTTCAAGAACCAGACTTTTTATTTCACTGATTTCCTCCATTATTTTCCTATTTTAAATTTTATTAATCTCTGCTGTTATCTTTATTACTTTCTTCTGTCTTCTTCTTTTCTTGTTTATTGATGTAGGAAATGAAAATATTGCTTTGAAAAACTTCTCACTTTTCTAATAAAAACATTTAGTGTTATAAATCTCCCAACCAGTACTGCTTTACCTACACCCACTTTTTTTTTGTTTTGGGTAGTTAGCTTAGAATTGTTCTCCCTATTTATATGAAAAATGCAATTTGATAGGGCATATATTTAATCTGTATATTGTTTTTGGTACTATGAGCATTTTAACAATCTTGATTCTTCCATTCTGTGAACATGTGATATCTTTACATTAATTGCTGTCTTCTATTTCTTGGATCACTCATTTATTGTTTTCAGTGTATATCTTTCATCTCCTTGGTAAAATTTATTCCTAAGTATTTCAATATTTTTATATTATATTTTTGTCTTATTGTTTTCTTGATTTTTTTCTGGATAAGTTATTATTGGAATAAAGAAATGCAATTGATTCTTATATATTAATTTCATATAATGCATTTTTACTGAGTTCATTTTCAACTTCTCATAGTGATTTTCTTGGCATCTTTAAGGCTTATACATACAGAATCATGTCATCTACTAACAAGGATAATTTTACTTCTTTCTAATCTGTATTCCTTATATTTCTTTTTCTTGTCTGATCTCTTTCTTTCTAACATTTCTAGTACTTGGGTGAACAGAAGTGGAGATAATGGCATTGTTGCCTTATATCACCAGAAAAAAAGATTATAGTTTTTCCCCATTGACTCTCATAGGAGCTGTGGGTTTTCGCAATGACCTCTGTTGGGTTGAGGAAATTTGTTTTTGGGTTTTTTAATCATGAAATTATATTGAACTTTGTCAAATGCCTTTTCTGAATCTATTGAGATGATCATACTATTATGCATTTTGTTAATGTGTTTTGTCATATTAGTTGATTTGCTTATATTTGCATGTCAGAGATAAATTTCACTTGGTAATGATGTATAGTCTTATTGATGCCTTGTTGTATTTGGGTTGCTGTAATTTTGGAAGATTTTTGTATCTATATTCAGCAGAAATATTGGCTTATAGTTTTTCTGGTGGAATGTATTTGTATAGATTTAGTATAGGGGGAAATGAGCTTCATAATAAATTTGTATTACTCCTCAACTTCTACTTTTTTGAAATATTTCAAGAGGGATTAGTATTTATTCATTTTAAATGTCTGATAGTATTCATTTATAAAATCATCTGGTTCTGGGCTTTTTATAAATTTATAATTGGTTGGCTCAGCTTTCTATTTCTTCATGATTTGATCTTTGTAGGTTGTTTTCAGGTATTTATCCAATTTTTCTAGGATTGACATATAAGTGCCTTATTATCCTTCTTTATTTCTGAGGCATGTTATGTTGTTGCCTCTTTCATGTCTTTCTCCTTTTTATTAGTGTATATTAATTGTGCAAAATAGTGGGTTTCATTAAGACATTTTTCAAACATATATAATACACATCAATTGTATTCATCCCCTATTACATTCTCCTGCCTACTCCCTATTCTTTCATTTCTGATTTAAATCTTCTCTCTTTCTTCTTTCTTATTTAGACTTGTTTCATGACCTGACATATGATCCATCCAGAAAAATGTTCAATGGCACTTGGGAAGAATATATATTCTGCTTATGTTGAGTAGACTGTTCTGCATATGTCTGATGGCTCCATTTGGTCTTTAGTGTAGTTCATGTGCAATATTTCCTTATTGATATTTTTGTCTGGATGACTTATTCATTATTGAAACTGTGGTATTGAAGTCTTCTAATATTATTGTATTGATGGTTATTTTCCACTCATGTCTGTTAATGTTTGTTGTATATATTTAGGTGCTCAGATGTTGGGTGCATACTACTTATTATTGTTATACCTTCTTAATAAATTTCTATTTTCCCATTATATAATGGTTTCCTTTGTTTCTGACATAAAGTATATTTTGTCTGATATAAATATAGATACCATTGCTCTCTTTTGGCTTCTATTTGCATGGAATTTTCTATTCTTTTGTTTTTAGGTTTTTTTTTTGTTAATGGTTTCTGACAAGCAGCATGTAGTTGGCTCTTTTTAAATCTTTGTTTATATCTTTTTATATTTTGTAACCTTGGTCTGGAGATGTGGCTCAAGTGTACAACATTTGCTTTGCAAGCATGAAGCCCTAAATTCAAACCCCAGTCCCACCAAAAACCCAAAGAAAATCCACCCACCCCCACAAAGCTAAAGACAATATATTTTGTAAACTTCATCAAGTATAACTATATTTCCTTTAAGTAAATTTAATTTTTTCCATGTCTTTTTAGGTTTAATTGAAAAAATAAATCTGTTTCTATGTGCAATATATTTCTATATGCAATGTGATATTTTGATATAGGCATACATTGTGAAATGATTATCACAATCATTTAACTTATAATCTCACATAGATTTTTGCTTTTGTTCGTTGGTTTTGGTAGTGACAACATTCGAGATCTATGCTCTTCACAAATTTCAATGTACAATATAGCACTGTTAAACATATTGCACCATTCTGAACATTAGATCCCAGAACTGGGATCTAACTGAAATGTATACTTTTGACCAATATCTTCTCATTTCTCAATTTCCCTACTCCTGAAACTTGTGTCTGATTCTACCCTCTGTTTCTAGAAATTCAGCTTTTTAATACTCTACATACAAGTGTTAGTTGCTATTATAAAGGTTTAGTGTTCAGGATACAATGAGATTTTTCTTAATGAATATGTTTTATTGTTTTGTATATCAATCCCAGTTTGTCTAACTTAAAGTATTTTCATATGTCTATTCTTCTTAGTGTTTCATTTTCTACTTATTTGTCTTATTTTTAATTGACAAATAATTGCATATATTTATGGAATGCAGGATTTCTTTCCTTTATCTCTCTCTCTCTCCTCTCTCTCTCTCTGTTTCTCTCTCTCTCTATCTCTCTTTTTGAGAAAGGGTCTCCCCTTGTAGCTCAGGCTGGCCTGGAACTCATGATCCTTAGATTTCAGCCTTCCAATACTGGAGTTATAGCATGCCTGACTTTTCTTTCTCCTTTGTGTATCTACTTCATGTTT